TCCTGCTCTTCCCCCGTGCCTGTGATGGGCAAGGTTTTGTCACAGCTCCCTTGGAAAGGAACAACCACTCAGGCTCCATGCCAAGTGGTGAATGTGTAAGACAGGAGAGCGGAACAGAGTGAAGACAGCAGATCTGCTCCTGGACACCACACAAGCTGCAACCACTTAGCCACAATTTGGCTTACACAGCTGTACTCAATCTCCCTCATCCCATGCTCAGCCACACACCCTCCTCCCTCTACCCCTGGAGCCTCACCAGGACCCCACAGTATCTTGAAACCAACGCTGATAGGATAGAAAGGTTTTTCAAGCCCAGAGAAGTCACACGCCTGACAGACTAATTGCTGCACTTTGTGCACTGGCAGAAGTGGGGGGGTGTTTTGCACCTCACTGTAATTTTGCCAAAATGACCTTAAGCCAGGTCCACTCAGTTTACCAGACAACTAAGTAGTCCCAGAGATTCAGTATTTCCTGGAGGCCAGCACATCCCCAAGGAGGACACCCCAGGGGAAGGAAATACTTGCACACAGGCTGTTTTTTAGGGAGCTGTAGGTTCAACAGGCTCTTCTGAGATCTGGAGAGAAAGATGCCTCAGAAAGCAGTTGAGGCAGAAATTAACTTCCACACTCGAACTGCCTTTCAAAGGAGACTTCTTCTTTCCATCTTTCTCCACTGCCTACACAGAACCCCTAGGAAGATCTGCTTCAATAGCTAAACACAATTCTTTCTGAATGCCCTCACAATTCACCAGTGGCTTTGTCACAGGACTGATCACACACACGGTAATCACCTGGCTTCTCTCTGCAATGCAGCTCCACCCTGAAAAGCTTCCACCTGACAGGCAAGCCCTTCATTAGTCTACAGAACTAAAATAAGTGCTACTTCCAAGTCTCCCACTTCTGCCCATTGTCTGACAGAATGTGATGTCTGAGCACAGCCAGTGACAGAAGGACTTTAACTGAATGCAGGATACCCAGCACCCTTGTGACGTTATTGGGAATGGAAAAACTACTCTGAACTTAACTTGCGAAAAAACAGATTTGCAGCCATTATCACTGCCTCTCCAGGAACGTGAAAGCTTTTGTTGCAGCTCCCACAAGTCAGAAAATGCAGCCTTTAGGCATTTCTTAGGTGTGTAGCTTCCCAATAGTTCACTGCTAAGATGATACATCCCCCATTTCTAAGTAGCTTTGCTGTCTGAAGTGGGGCAAGGTTGCTTTGAATGACAGAACTGGTCTATTTGCAAGGTCTAATATAACTTTTTTATTGTCATTAATCATTCCTTTAACAGGTTAGAAAACAAAACTGACATTTCAATAACATTTCATCATAGTTTATACATAACTGGCTGATGCATGGTGTTATCCTCTCATCCAAACCCACAGCCACCTTCCAAATTGCAGAGTTTAGGAATTACAGTGCACACTGGACTAAATTCTTTCACAATGTAAGGCACAACTACATGATCACACGTAGTAAACACAAACACTGAAAATACAACTTAAGAGAACTGAACTTCAATTAAAAAGAAACAAAACCAAAACACACTCATGCAAAAATCTATCCACACCTACCAAAATGGTATGATCCAATTTAAAAGAAGTGCAGTACTCCATAGGTAAAACAGCAACATAAGGCTCATATAATACATTACCTTTAAATACTGGGTAAGAACTTAAATTTTTTTCCATTTATATTTTATACAACTATAGAGAAATTAAGTTGTATGCAAAATATTCACATCTGCAATAATAAACTGATCATTGTGATTCAAAAAAGAAGCAAACAAGACAATGCAATTTGTGTCACACATCCATTACAGAATACCATTCATCAGGTTCACATCTCTAGTACTGAAGAAAAAAAAAGTGACTAAATTAATGGTACATTTGGTGAATGAGGCTATCTATAGCCAAATGACAAAGCTGCATACAAAATTGTTTTTACCCAGCAGACTGTGACTAGGAAAGCTTGTGGTTATAATTTATTTCCTGTCCAGCAGCTAGAGTTTGCAAGATTTAAACTAAAGAAGTTAAAAGAATACAACAGTTTACCATAACTTGAAACTACTGGACACTTGCAAACACAATTAAAAAAAAAACAAACAATTTTTTTCCTTTTTGGTGATAAACTTTTGCAGTTTTGGCATTCACTATAACTTTTACATAACATAACAGTGAGCAAATCTTATTAAACTTACCTAATGTTTGAATTTCACGCTGAGAGGTAGTTTAAATGAAATCTTATGTAATGGCATCAAACGGTGGGGTTTTAAGATTTTTTGGGGGGGGTGATTTTTTTTTTTTCTTTTCTTTTCTTACAAAAGTGACAAATCCTATACAAGCAGCATTTTGGACACATTACTATAAAAAGTTACAGTATTTGCTATCCCAGTGAGACATTCTTTCAAACATCCCTTTTGTGTCAGGAATCAAGCTCTAGCATGATACAACAGAGGACTTCTTTGCCATAAAGCCAACACCAGGAGCCTGGACCTGCCAGCACTGGCCTGTTGACATATAATGATGAACGCTCCTTCCCAGCCTTCTTTATCCAAAAAAGGCAGGAAATACAGATGAATTAGTTTTTAGTTTAGGTCATAAGGGGAGGAAAAAACAGAAAACACACCTACCAGGCTTCTGCTTTCATAGTAATGTGGATCCAAAAGGGTTAGCAGGGCTTCAGTAACCTTTAAATGAGCAGATACTCCTGTATCTGCTGCGCAGTGAGTGCATAGTAAGTGGTGAGCTACAGACAAAAGGCAGAGTTTATTACTTTAACTAGTACCTATCCTCTTCATTATTGTGATTTTAGGTGGCATCTCATGTTCTCTCTAAAGATGCAAACCTCTCTAATCAGTGCCCCTTAAAAAAAAAAAATAAATACTTCCAAAACTGAGTTTCTGTGATGGGATTTTACTATCCAATTACTGCTGGTTTTGAAAAGTACATTTTTGGAGAGGCTGTGGTTGGATGATAATTTTAAACTTATCCTAGAAGGGATACTGAGGTCAAGACTTCAAAAATTAAGAACTGGAGAACTGGCAAGACCCTTGAAAATAAATAAAATTCACGTTTTCTCATTTTATAATCTTAAAATGAAGCTCTACAAAGACAACGAGTGCATGGCTACATGGTTTTTGTCATTACATGTGCTCTCAGATGATGATCACATTTTAGGTACAAAGGAATTATGAGTGCAATTCTCCTTACATAGCAATGGGCCAAATGTAATAGAGTGAAAAGTCCAGCTGAAGATAAACCTTCTGTCCATTGATTACAGCTAATACATGCAATGCCAACAACGCCATTCCACTTACTGTAGATTATATTACATTAGACAGCAAAAAGTGCACAGTGCAAATTACAGTGTTGTTTCCTAGTCCCCTAAGAATATGAGAGTGGGAGGGCTGGTACTTGGAGGAGTAATTTATCAGTTTCAACATACTCAAACCATAGTATCATTGTTCTTGGCATAGTTTATATTCTGTTTGAACTTAAGCTCCAGCAGTTTTCTGTCTGACACTCAGTACTGGTCATAAATTTTTTAAGTTTTGCAACAAGCATTTGTTCCCACTTTGCGTTTAACGGACATTTAACAATCCAGAAAAGTACTTGAGTTTTCCAGGTCCTTTCTTTAGTCTTTAGGAATGTCACTTCTCTTACATCTCGCATGACAGACTCCATTTTCTTGCTAAAGTAATACAAACACAGCAAGGTTACTTCATGCTTCTGCTCCCAAATCCCTTCTTGCTTCACTAAGAAAGCTTTTCCAGTGCGGATTCATAAATAATCCTAATTGCCTAATTGTCCCAAAACCAAGAAAAATAGTTATTTGTTGCTCTTGTGTACCTAGCGCTCCACACTCCATGGCATCTTGGATATTTGATACCTTCCAAAAACAGAGAAAAAACCCCACACTATACCCTAGAGCCTCAGATTCTTGTGTGAGAGAATGAAGCCAGCTGAAAAATGAGATCCCTTTAAACCTCTTGCCTCTGTTGGAAGCTGCAGCAGCAAATTCTTTTTGTCTCTTCATCTGCAGAGAGCAACTTTTCCTACTATGACTCATCAATTTATCTTTGTTCAACCTTTGCAGAAAGGGGAAGGTTGCTGGAAGGAAGGAATACATAGGGAGAAGAAATAACAATGAAGCACAGCCAGCCGAGATGAAAAGCCTGCCACTGACCTCTGCAATGCTACGTGCCTTCAGAGGCATTGCAGGATGGAAGTATGTGTTGCTGACATGAGGCTGGAGCAGAACAGTAGGATTTGTTATTCTGAGGCAACAACCAAAGGGATTGTGGCTATTTGACTGGGAACAGAAGTGATGTCTTCAGAAAGTTAAAGAATCTCTCCTCACCCTTAAACAAAGCCATCCTTTACACTTTTCTGACTGCCTCCGTAGCTCGTCTCAGCCTATGTAGCAGCTGGTCTCTCATATTCTGCTCCACTCGGCGATTCTGAATGTGGATGGCGTGTCCTGCAGAGGTGACAGTTTCAGGAACAAACCCCACACTTCATTGTCCCATTCCTGATGCCATGGTAATGGCTAGCAATTAAAGGCAGCTTGAGGATCCCACACACCTACTTAGGTTGGCCTCTATAATCTTGAAGGTCTTTTCCAATCAAAACGATTCTGTGATTCTATTTGAGTGCTAGTTTTACAATTATTTCCACCTCTTGCTCTATAATGGCCTCTCCTCAGTGAATCAGAGCAATCTGGTTCTTGCTAGAGGCTGTTAAAGCACATCACTGTGCATTCTCCAGTTCCAAGGCTCTAGTCTCTTCTGCCATTTTCTTAGTTTTTCCCTCTGTTCCTCTGTTTGCAGTTTGAAAAATCAGTGCATTAAACTATTTTGTCTGGAATCCTTTAACTCAGCGTGCTAAAAGTTACCAGGCTTCTTACTTGGTTTTCCTATTATTTATATTTTAAAGCAGTGCAACAAAAAAACCACATTCCTACTGATAACATGCCAACCAAAACAGTCAGACTCTGCATGCAGATTTATAAATACAAAGCGTTTCACCTTCCAGTTTCCTTTATTATACATCTCACAGGTCATTCTACTGAGTTTGAACACAACTTCCAACCTGGCAGTGACGCCGAGAGCATTATAGGATGTATTATACAATCAGCTTGTCAACAAATACAGACCAGCACAAAGTATCATAAGCACAAAAGAAGGAGCGTAAGATTTAGCAATGGGGTCATAAATTTACTCTAGTGAAAAGCTGTAGAAATCCTGACCTATTCCTGAAGACTCAAAGCTCAAGCATTAAACCTTCTACCCCACCATTGTTCCTCCAGACTTTAACAATTCCTCTTTCTACAAATGTGCATTTGAAAAGCATTTCCATCCCCTCATAAAGTTGGTCTTATCAAACTGGTCAGCAAAAAGCAAACTACAGAAATCAAGCTGGTTTTGCCCCTGAAGCTGAGGAGCTCCAGACCAAGATCTGATCTGCAGTGAACCCACCGCACTGCTTCAGCAGCCAGATGAGTGAGGCGACTCTGCTTAGCTTTACACAAAGGCATCCCAAGAGGCTGAATTAAGAACAACTCTACTAGAGCTTCTACCACTTCCTCTTTACTGCAGAGCTCTCTCCTCAGCTTTCACACACTCCCATTAAGAAGCAAAATGTCTGAACACAAGTGAGTCTTTTAACGATTTTCCTAGTTCCCTCTAAGAGATTTCCATCTTCCTCTGCCTCATGTGTTTTATCTTTGTGCAGTCACAGGTAGCTTCTCGCTTTCCTCTCAAAATCCATTCTGCTCCACGTGGTCATCCTTCACCCTGAGAGCAGCACGAGGCTCTGTGTGCTGCACAACAGGGTAGAGCGCATCTAAGCTGGAGCATGACTGTCACATCTTTACCTTTCCCACACTTCTCAAGTTACGTGTCAGACAAAGAATGGTTCAGAAGAAAACTCTTCAGATTCTCTCAATAAATAAATAAGTTAAAAAAAAAAATTCCCAGAGGCAGAGATTCTGTTTGTATTTTCTATTCAAAAGATTCTTATGCCAAACAATTACACCAACGAGGAGGAAAAGCAAGTCCAGAGGCTCTGTTCATACAGAATCCTGGCAGCAATTGTTTCTTTTGAGCAAGCAACCCTCAAGTTCAAATCAGAAAAGCGGGTATTTCACATGAACCACGGTTGTATGCCAAACCCTTTTACAGTGAGGAGAATCAGTTATATAATTCAGATGCGTTTTGGGAAATAATTTAATTTTAAGAAAACTCCTTGAGGAAGACTCCTTGAGGCTGCAAATGTAGAACTAGAGAAGTAAGCTAAGAAGGGATATGAAATTTGTAGATCATTACTTCTGGAGAAGATGGATTAAGAAGTTTTTCACTTAAGAGTTAATCAGGACTAGACACTTTTCATTAAAGACTCTTCTTCATTCACATATAGAGCTGTGAATAGATAAAAGCAAACCTGCCTAACAATGGCTAAGCTTCCATCATTGTGATAGAATCTGATTCCTTACCTCGAGCAAGAAGTAGAGGAATTCAGGACAGTTCTTTTCTCTGAACAGCTGGCACAATTTTGTAAGACACCGAATGGCTTGGGGTGTGGGGAATTTATTAGGGTATTTAAGACAAAGGGTCCCTAAATACAGGAAGGCATAACCCCTACTTGGAAGAAATAAGCTTAATGGTTTTTAAATACCAGATAGAAAGGAAAGAATAGTTAGAGACGGGCAGGCAAGAACAAACAGGTGTAAATAAAATCACAACAACCTCATTAATGTTTATAAATATACAAAGGGCAAGTGTCACAAGGATGGAGCCAGGCTCTTCTCAGTGACAACCAATGATAGGACAAGGGGCAACCGGTGCAAGCTGGAACACAGGAGGTTCCGCTTAAACTTCAGAAGGAACTTCTTTACGGGGAGGGTGACGGAGCACTGGAACAGGCTGCCCGGGGAGGCTGTGGAGTCTCCTTCTCTGGAGACATTCAAAACCCGCCTGGACACCTTCCTGTGTGATCTCATTTAGGTTCCTGCTCTGGCAGGGGGATTGGACTGGATGATCTTTCGAGGTTCCTTCCAATCCCTGATGTTCTGTGATTCTGTGAAAAAGAACTCCGGAGCCTATGTGAGATCTACAAGAAACCACTGTTGCAATTACAGAAAAGATAATATGAAAAAAAAAAATCTAAAGACATATATATTGGCCTCTTATTTAGAGCTGTTTGGCTTATAACTAAGCCAGTGGCAGAAGATTCACACCACCGTTCAGAGCAGATTAAATCATGTAACTAATGTAACATTTAAGACCTCTCAGTATTGGAAAACTGAGGTTTGTTAGGTGTAGCAGGAGTTCAGCTTCTCCCATCAAAAGCTGAGGGCAGGGACAGAAGAAAAGGTCAAATAAACTACAGCAGTCTCAAAAAAAGACTTACCAACCAAACTACCAGTTTTGTTTGTTTGCTTTTTAAAACCCACATATAAGGGTTTCTGGAATATTAAAATCCATCAAGTGAATATGTAAAAGTGAAATCAATCAATACAGGATGGAATATTGTAATGTACCATGTAATATTCCTACAATGCCAGCTAAACTTTGTCTCATCATTTCTTCACACATACTCTCTCTCAGACACACACACAAACTATGACAGACAGTATGTGCAAAGATGTTCCAGTATCCCAGTGATGTAGCTGGATAAGGACTCAGGTGCTGATGCTACAACAAGTTCTAAGTGGGCAGATAAAACTGAGCTGGAGCTGAGCCCAGCTGTTACCCTCACTGTGGAGTTCGAACTTTAGAAAGAAAAGTCCAAGAACCAGAGAGATAGAAAGAAAACAAAATCACAAGGGATTATAAAGAACATCAGATACACAATTAAATGAAACAATTAGTTATGGTTTTACAGCAACATTTGATAGATAAAATTCTCACAAGTTTTTGCATCTTCCTTTTTCTTTGAAGGAAACAAGAATAAACTGTAATATCACATAAATGCTGTTTCTCTTGAACAAAAAAATAAAAGATAAAAAAATACATTGTTACTCCTCTGTTTAAACTTTATTTACAATTAACTGGTTATTTCTAATCTAGACATAGAAGCTCTTTCCAGGATAAACGGCAATAAGCTATGGATGATCTGAGCCCATGTCTCACAAAAAATACAATAGTTTTACTTGGTATCAATAAACATTTTAAAATATACTAAATTTTGCCAAGTGTTACAATCACTGTCCAAACTGAATAGTAGTCTGAGTGGTGAACGAAGTGCATCAACAGAAATCATAAATTTTAGTGTAACATTTCTTTGTCACTCACGATAGCCAGTTATCCTTGCAAGTCATTAAAGCAAGTATCACAGACTCGGACAGGCTTCTTAGAAGAAGGAGTTAAGGCATTCTTTGCTGAGCACTCGGCACAAAAGATATTTCCACACTGTCTACAGTGATGCTGTGAAAGAGAAAAAACATACATGCTGAACATGTGTGACAGGGCATCGATCACTAACAGAGATCATTATCTAGTCAAGTCAGTTCTCATGTTTCAGAAGTTAGTTTAAATTTTAAATAGTAGTTACATAGCACTCAGAAGGGCATAGGAAGAAATCCTTTCTAAAGGGTATAGGAGTAAAATGTTCAGAAGCGCTTCACTGAGACTATACCAGTTTTGGAAATGAACTGGTTGAAGTTCATCCTGTTCTTGAATTTCAACTCCTGAACTTGTTACGGTCACATAAAACATGTTCTTCTTACATGTAATTACCTGCTTTCACATTGAGAAGTATCTTTAAATCAAAGGATTCAGCAGCCTTTGTTCAAAGACTACCCAACGAACATCACTGAAATAATGCAGGACAGGGAGAGCCACCTAAGACCAAGTCAGGAAGCACTGAAAGATGAACCTCATGAATATCCCTCATCTACTTCATTGACAAGTCAGTTGTTGGAGGGATGGTCATCTGTGGATGAAGGGCAGACTCTGACAGTTGAGGGATGCTAACATCTTAGCTAACCACAGCTGATATTACAAAGAGGTTCTAACTACAAACCTAAAACAAATCCACTTGTTTCTTCTGTTCCATGTCTAGTTAGTGTTTAGAAATATAGTCACAAAGCACCCGATCATGTTGATGCTTGATATTTTCACATATATCTATTTTCAACAAATTTACATTCCTTTTATACCTATAAATCCAGCTCAGACTGTAGGGTCTTACAATAAATACCCTTACAACAGTGTAAATTTGTTTGCTCACTTAGGGGATTGAACTATTTTAACACTGTTTATGAACTGATACTGTTAAAATGGCAAAAAAAATCATGAATACAGTAAGCTCCACAAACTTTATTTTTAATATTTAAGGTACTGCAAGCAATAACTGTGTTCTGAGATGTCCTGAGTATCACAGCACTGTTAAAGCCATTTTCTGAAGTTTGTACCCTATCTAAGAGTTTGAAAACAACAGAAAAAGAAAATCCACACAGACACGCAGTAAAACACACCTACCCTTCTCACTGTCACTGAAAAGCCTTTTCCGCAGGCCATACAATTCTGAACCTCATTGTCTTCTGCCCACTTCCTGTTGAGAGCTTGGGTGTGTTTGATCTATATAGAACATATAAAAAATACTTTTTTAAAATGCATGTCTAATTCCTACTAATTTCCTCTATTTTCACTGTACACACTACTCAGTGCAGTATAAAAACATCAATTCTGCCATGATACTGAGAGCTTTTATTTGTTCAGATTGAAAATCTTCCAAGTTTCAAAACTATGAGCAGATTTAAGAACCCACAGACAGCAATATGGCCCTTGTATACCACAGGCTTAACATCTTAATCACTCTGGAAAAGTAACCCACCACCAATCTGACAGAAACATGAAATTCTCATAAGTTCCCACCCAGAGAATCAATAGGTCTAATTGCTTCAAATCAAATTATACCTGTAATGACTGGTTTTCTCGACCAAGTTCCTGCATTGCAGCAGTAGTGTTGTCCAGCTTTTTCTTCATTTCTACAAGTTTGGCTTGAAGCTTTTCAATTTCTCCCTCACTTTTTATACACCTGAGGAAAAAAGTAAATAGTCAGCTAAAGGCATATGAGGCATCGTACACAACCTCCTTTGGGCAGGCTGTCATACCTGAGAAGTTACTCTCACAAAATCCAGAGAAAAATATCCTTGCTCTGAAAGGTTCTTGGATGCCTCGACTGGAAAAATGTTCTGTAGTAACAATCAGTTTAAGATTATCTGGCATCGCTCCCAAATACCTGCAGCTTATTAATACCTGGAGTTACTCCCAAAACCAGTGATAGTACTGAATGTAGTCCATCAACAGCAAGCCCTGATAAGTACTCCTGTACAACAGGACACTCTCACAAACCAGCTGCAGCAGATCAGGTCAGACAACAAGCAGAAAAGAAACCTTTTTCTTTTAGCAAGGCCACTCCCCATCAGCTAAAATTCAGTTAACTGTTGAAAGCCAACTTTCAAAGGGTGTTTTTCTGCCAAGCTGTAAATGGCTACTGGGTGAGTTCAGCACAGTATGGCAAGGGATTGCCAAAGAAAGAGGATCTTACTTGAACTGATCCCATCCTTTCCCAAGGGTGGGGAACAGCCTAATCAGAAACAGTACTGAAAAAAAAGCTTTCCACTCTGCCTTCACCAAACATGTCAGGAAATTAGAATGAAGAAAGTTTCTTGTTTCACAGGTGTTTCTTCCAGCCCTGTAATCACTCCTTTCAGGTAAGTTCCACTGCCTTGCATGACTCCAGCTGCCTTAAGGAAAGGCACTCTGCTTACCTAAGATTTAAATATATTGTAGAGACAAAGCAGAACTGGAGAAAAGAAGACTGTAGGTTTTTAGGAGGAAGAAAATGCCTCCTGTGTGAACCGCAGCCTGTCTAACCCAATTACACGCTCAATCTCCTAACATTGAGCAGTGGGCAGATCCAGAAGTCCCTAAGCAAACTGTGTTACTGGAGACACTAAGGAGTCTCTTCCAAGCTTTTGGATGACTACTGCATCTACTCTGATTGAGTCAAAGCAGGGGAGTCTCAGAGTGATGGGGAAGAATAGTTATCTCAGGTAAGAGAAGCTCTCTCTTCCAGGCCTTGGAAGGTTCACACAACAGATGAGATGAGAAGCCACAACCTACACACCTGAAAGTTCAGAGGAGCCCAATGGACTTAGAAGGCTTTTACAGATGGGCTAAGTCTTCAAGCACCATCAGAGAGCTGTGGCTTTGATGCTTAGTAAGGTCCTGATAAGCCTGCCTGATTTTCTACAAAACGGTTACCCTGTAAAACCCCACGAAGAGCACAGTTTGTTCCCAACACCCCTTGCTGTGCTTTGTCAGGGATGACAGAAGGTTGCACTCTGGAAACTGCACCCACAGCCCAGGCACTAGGAACAAACATGGATTTAAATAAAGCACGCATAGAGAATCTTAAATCAACTGAAACAAGTTTTCAGTGTCAGGCTACCCATTTCCCAAACTACACTTCCACATCATCATGGCCACAGCTTACCTCTCCAGCAACGCCCTTCTCTCATCCTGATTATTCTGTACTGTTGCTTCCAAGACGGCAATGTCCCCACGTAAATCGTCCGTCTGTTTCTCCAGTTCGCTCACTCGCCTCTGACTGCTTTGCCACTCTTTCTTCATGGTAGCCAGGTTTTCATTCAAAGCTGTGACCTGCATAGTAAGCTTGGTTTCCTTTTCCTCATGTTTCCGGTTCTCTTCTTCTTTCTCTTTTTTCTCTGTGTGCTAAGAAAACAATGGAACAATTAAAAACAACCTTACAAGTATTCTTTCCCTGTTACCTACATTTAATTGAGGCAAAGAATCTTACTGTCTAACAATCACTACTTTTAATCAACAAACAAGGCTGTCAACCCACTGAATTTTCCTACACCATTAAATGCCTCAAAGATTTCTGACCTGGTAATTTAAAAAATTAATATAATGTGAGACTAATGTCAACTCTTTGCTTCCTCTCTGTCCCTGAAAGAATCCAAAGGCATGTCACAAAACAACAGTCTTATGCCCTTAACATACTAACCAGTTTAGCTTCAGTTTCAGCACATTCTTTCTTCAGCTCCTCTTCTCTCTTTTTCAGCTGATCTTTGACAGTTTGATGGGTTTTTTTTTCCTGTTCCAGAGCAGAATTCATATTATCTATTTTGCCCTGCAGCTCTAATTTCTGTTGAATCAATAGCTGTTTTGCATCCTTGAGATTTGCCACCTCCTGTCAGGATACAGAGCTCAAAGTTAAATTAGCAACATTGAAAGTGTAAATTATTTACATTCAAAACTACTGCAATTCTTTCCAAGGAGAGGAGAGCAATAATTTTCAGTTTTATCACTGGAAGAAAGGAAAATTTTATCACATAAAGTATCAGTAATTTCCATGACCAAAGATTTTAAATTATACCTATGTTATGAACAACATTCAATTTTTTAAATTGTGGTGGTTTTCTTCTTTAGAATAGAGATTTCAGGAATGATGAGAATTATAATAACCTTTCCCCAAAATCCAAGAAAATTGTGGGCATAGATTGCTTGACAGAAACAAAGTACAGATTTCTATCTAAAAATAAGAGAACATTTTCTAAAGAGTGGAGAAAAAAAGAACATCTGAAACTCATAAGATAACACGTTACTTCTCCTTTATTAGTGTGTAGGGATTGTATGTTCATTTATACTTGTGCAGCAACGTAAACCCTGTTTGCTTAAGAGATGCAAATAATAACTCCTAAGACTATGTCTTTTATGAGGCTCCTGACATTGTTTCTTCCCTGTGTGTGATTTTTTAAGACATTTTAGAAACCACAGCACATCGAGAGAGTTTCAACTCTACCATGCATTCTTGAGAAGTACCATATGTGCCTAGAATACCTGGAAAACTTCACATTCATTACAGTTTTGGACATCTTTCTGCACTTCAGAATAGTCAGACAAGGGTATGAACAGTGAATCTTCAGTGAGACAGAAAAAAAGCCAGGACATACAACTCATCCTGAAGCTAAAACACGTTATGTGGTCCACCTGTCTGTGAACACTGGGCACCAGTGCTCCAGTATCATCACTCATCAAGTCAGCATTGCTCAGGAACCTCAAAAAAATCTGTGCTTTTGTTCCCTTACCTGTTATACTGATATTTACAGCAACCATTTTTGCAGAGCCATTCCAGACAACATCTACTGAGTAGGCACATATTTCTTAACAGATAACCAACCACATGAAGACTAGTTTGTCTCAATATACCTTCTCAAATTCTTGCTTGCAGGCTCTAAGCTCTTCACCCAGCTTGGCACTTTCTCTTTCAAGTCTACTCCTTATTTCCTGGAGCTCTGTTGTTTTACATTTTTCATTAGCCAAGTCTTTTTCTTTCAAAATCTTGAAGGGAAATAAAAAGTGCTAGAAAAGTTACTTCTTACAAGTTCACAAAATAAAAAAGAACAACAAAACAAAAAACATCCAGGGCCCAAAACCTACTTGGAGGCTTTGTAATTAAGGGGAAACAACTGCCATATATCTCATCCATAGTTCATAGTGCAATTAGCACCATGTTTGCAGTTTTAGATTTAAAACTAGTAATGTTTTTCTACACATTTACCCACTTAGAACAAATTAGCAGCCTATTTCAAGATAAATTCACTTCAACTGTCTATTAAAAGTCTTTGTGCCAGAGGTTCAGTAAAACTGCCATTTTTGGGGGCACTACAATAGTGCTATGCCCTCAAAATAGCCCTTGTTTAGAGATGTAACAGAAACTAATGAAGGGTGCCTGCATGGGGTGGATGTGTCTGTGTGAAGATTTCAAAAGACAGAGGCACTTACCCTGTCGTTCTGAAGATCCTGTAACATTTTGGTCTTCTCACCCAGCTGCTGCTCCTTCTTTGATGCATCCTGCTCCAGTGTAGACTTTGCTTTCTTCAGTTCCTGAATCTGCTGATTATTGCTAGCAATTCGATTTCTGCTGGAAACTAATTCTTCTTGAGCTAGAGCAAGTTTTTCTTCTGTGGACTAATTACAAAGAGAGTTCTGCAAGTTGTCTGTCAGTATAAGAGCTTCAGATACTCAGCAGTCACTTAAACATTTTCCACATGGAAAAATCGTTATCTAGCATGCAACATTTAGCTTCTAATGTTGACACAGCATAGTTACAGAAATTTCTAGGTTACCCTATATAAAAAGAAACTACACCGGTACCATTTCCATCAGCAATACCTTACTGCACATATTGCAGCTTGCATCCTTCCACAGAGAAAAGGTTATAACATACAGCAGGGCAAAGAATGAAAGGTGACTGATGAAAATTGCTCATACAAATTTATTTTATTCTCTCGGCAAATCACCTGCTCTATAACTCTAGATGGCTGTTACTTAAGAGGCAATGAAGCTATACTGTGAAGATTTCAAAAGTCATTCAACGCTGTTTTTTACCAATGACTCAATGAAGCTAGTGCTAGGACAATAATGAATTTTTTGAAAATCCTAAAATTAAATGTACAACCTAAAAGTGCTAACATTTCACAGCCTCAGCTACACCAGCATTTTAAACACAAAATTTAAACTTCCATTCAAAATCTACTACAGATTATATTTTAACTTGCCTCCAACTCTCCCCACTACCTAGATAAAGAACTTGGACTTATCTCTCTACAACAGGTCACAAAAACCCAAGAAACAACCTAAAACTTGCACTGAAGGCTCATTCTATTTGCTCACAGCAAAGTAAAACTTTGGTGTTCTTCTTGAGTTAGTATTCTGAAGGTTATGTTTTTCTAAAGCCTTCAGCTTAGGCAAGGACTAGCTGCACTTAGAAGCATGTTCTTTCACAAAGAACCAATGAGAAAGAAAAATACCAAACGCATCCTCCACTCCACCAAAATATTGGTATTTTATGGAAATTTTTGATGCTGATACAGAATGTGAGGTGAGAAGATTATTACTCATAAATTTACTACCTTCAGTGCACCAGTAAGGATTTAAATTATTTCAAGACAAACTAAATTCTTTTTGAAGCACTTAATTCCTAATCAAACCTCTTGGTGAAGGTTAATGATTTTAAAAGGAACAATAAAAGCACAACTTTTATTTTACTTAATTATGCTGTAGCAGCTCCCATGTTGATTTAAAAACAAACTTGTTTCTGATGCCTCCTAACCCTTCCTTGTAACGTCTGAAGTGTTTTGCCTATAGAGTCAGACAGTTTGAAACACCAACGATGGAACACTGCTGATTAAATTGCATTTTCAAAAACTCCAGTGGCTCTCAAAACTTCAGACTTGGTTTTTAAAATTCATTTGCAGATAAATTATTTGATTTGCTTTCTCAGCTATTAGAGTTCTCTACTTAACATTTCACAAGGTGTTAACTCAGAAAACATTTTAAGCAAAATATGAGATGCATTTGCAATTTCAAGCTTGCAGCAAGGTGGGTCTTTCAGAGAGCAAAATTATCCCTCTCTGCTCCACTGTGGGAAGTACAGTACCATATTTTCCTAACAATGAGAAAGGATGGGAGTGTAGCATCCTCACAAGAACATCTTCACAGGAAATCGCAACAGTCTCTGCAGCTTTAGAAAAAAGTATAATGAAGACACAGCTTTTACTGCAATTCATTTCCAGTAGAAGAAATGTGACTACATCCCATTGGTTAGCACAGGATGACAAAATCTGGCTATGAATTGGATGGTGACACTCAAATTAAAAGCCTCATCTAGGGGATATTCCTCTTCCCCCCACCCCAAAGTGTCTACGGTGGACAGGTTATCTCATTGTGTCTATATCTAAGCTAAGACAACATAAACATTCCTTCAAGGACAGCCAGTATTCAGCATACTCTGCACTGTATTATGCACAAACATTTCTGTAATTCAGTAGTTTCTAAGATAAAAGATTTGAAATTTTGCATACAATATAGCGTACTATAGTTTACGTATACAAGTGCCTCTTGATTGTCCTACAATTAATAATGATGTTACCTACCTTAACTGGGAAACCATTCAATATAATTTTATCAGTAAATGCACCATCTATTTATGCCTTTCTTTCTGCTTTGCTCAAAAGTTCCTCCCGGCACCCTTTCAAAATGAGCAGAAATCTTTTGGCACATGGTTAAATGTTCCAGTTATTATCCTTGCTCCTGGCTTAGTCTCTGCTGAGACTGTAATTCAGCCCAATTCTTTTGGACTTCTGAGGAGTTCACATCTTTAACACAGAATCACCTCGCAAAACATCTGATGCCATTTACCTTACTTAATTATCATTCAGTTTTGCAACTGCTCCCAGAATATGACAAGTGCTCTCCCAACAAGAGAGCCTCAATCATCAGACTGCTCTTTAGGGTGGCAGACAAAACCAATGCATGGAAAAGGTACATACAGGAAGGCAATCTAGCGATTTTTGTAAATACAAACAGATCTTAGGATGACTAGTATAGAGTTTAAGTAAATAAATAAAAAGATAAGAAGATATCAGAGCCTGATTCAGTACAACTTGGGTTGTTGCAGTGCAAATAATAATGCCAACAGCAGACCTAGCTGGGTGTTATGACCTGGATTCATTCCGCTTAAGTGAGGTGAATGAATAAGCCTTTTAGTCATTGTGTCCCACCTTCTCCCCTCCCTGACTCCAGCCCACAAGGACATGAAATAATTCACAGATGCTAACCTGGTCTCTCTTTGTTTCCTAAAAAGAAGAGTTAGACTAACTGTAGGCAATTTAGGCTCCTGACTTACAGACCTGAGGTTTGGCAGCATGAATATTGTCCCAGAATGTCCACTGAGGATACACTGACAGTGATGCCAATATTGGAGGTAAAGAAACATTCTTTTGAGACTACAGAGGAAACCAGGACTGACTACAAAAAGCACAAATGCCAAGACTGAAGGATAATTGGCAGAGCTCAGGAGAGCAGGATTCACAGAAAGTATGTTTGCACTAACTCAAAATCAAGGCAGAAATAACAGTTCTGCATTTTTATAGTCTTCTATATAAAAATGACCCTTTCCACAAAAAAATTAAATATTTTGCATGTGTATATATACAAATAATATTTATCTATTACAGATATGTACATATGTATTTTATAGATATATGTGTGTGTATATATATATATATACACAAAAATATTTAATGGTATTCTTGATTGTTTGTTGTGTTTTTTTTAATCAAAAACTGTAGGTTTGACAAACACTCAAATCCTGCCCAATTTCTTTTTCCTGTCACAAAGACAAAAATGTGTGAGTTTACTGTTATAGACAGTGCATTTTTAAACCAAAGTAAATTTGCAGCAAACAGTATCCACAAAATTATAACTAGGTTCTCACTTCCAAATTCATTACACTTCTCACTTTTCCTCTGTGAACATTTAACCGTTTGCAATTGGGCACAGCTACATAGCTAGGATCTTCCATTACTGAACCAGAAAGGAGGATTTTAAAGGTCTTCATTCTTCAGCCGAGCTGACAGTGCTCCAGAGAGCAACTGCCTGCTCTACATCTCTCCCTCATGCAGTGCTGTGTGTCCAACTGCAAAACTCCACGCAAGCACTTGCTCCGTTTTCCAGTCACACCTCAGCCTCCCAGGCCGAACCGCGCCAGCCGTCCCAGCAGCGATATTCCGAAGAGAAGCCGGCAGATGGAGCTCGGTGAACGCCACAACTCCTGCCACCCCCTCCCAGAGACCAGATCTACCACCCTACTCACCTCACCCCTACGCTCCACCGCCTTTCATGATCTACCCCCACGCCCAAAGCCTCGGCCTCACACAAGAGCGTGGTGCTACACCGTGTGGGGATATTTAAGCTTTCCCTTGTAACACTTTTAACTAAAGAAAACCTGGCGTTGCTAGGATCTCCTGATACAGCCTGGCCATGCCTGGCCCCGACAAACGCTGGGCGGACTCAACACAGCTCTGCAGGGAGTTCATATCTCTACTGAAAATCCTTCCAGTGAAAGACACCGAAGCTCACCTTACATACAAGTTTTTAAAACTTCTACTGCTGCCTGCTAATAAGATTAAGACCAATCTGAACCACAGCCCACCCACCAGCTTCGGTTCCAAACTTTAACCAAAATTCATAGCTTTGGCTCAAATTATCTACTCTTATCAAGTAACTCACATAAGGCAAAACACAATCCAGACAACTGACTTTGAATTGGATTATGAAACCCCATCATAAAGTTCTTCTGACTTTGAGTGGCATTTTGATATTCACACTAACATTATCATTCTGAGGCTTTCTGAATACGCTTTTTCCTTTGTGGTCTTCTAAGACAAGTTACCACTGCTTCTTTTGATTGACACTGCAATGAGGCAAGCACATCCACAATTAAAGACCTGCTCCCCACCTTTTCCCTCTTCTACATTTTACAGAAAAAAGTGGTGGCAAGCAGACCTCAGTAATCCTAATTAATATATGCTTTTTTAAAGTTTCTTAAAAAGAGCAAACAGCCTCCAAGTTGGTACATCACTTCAGTACTGAGGACCCCAATCTTCCTTAAGCTCTCTAGGCTCCACAGAGACTTACATAATAAATCAAGTTATTCGACTGCTCATCTTGAAAATCTTGTTTTCCCATTGAAATCACCTTATTTTACCTTTTCCTCATGGATGTTCTCTCTCTCCCTTGCTACCTTCCCAATTCAAGTTGAAAAGCATGTGGGACACCTACTGTCCTATTTTATACTTGCCAGAATTAGAGGTCATCAAAATAATTTAGTAATACTTATTCAAGCTATTTTTTAAAAAAGGCATACTTAAATGAAAATTATATTCTAAAAAAAAGTTTTTGAGCACATACAATGTTTTTACAGGTCTTTTGCATTACCAAATGTTGATCTAAATGCATTGCAGGAAATTAACTCACAGAGATATGTGTGCTATAGTAACTAACCATAAGAAGGAGTAGGTTTAAACCAGCTTTGAAGTTCTTCACAGTTTTACACAGCAACTCAACCAAGAAACACTGGTAAGTAAAGCTCCTGTAACCTGCAGGGAAATGTGGCAGGTAATCTAAGGCTAGAGGAGAAGTATGATTAATAAAATTGCAATGGCCTATATGTAAAGGAGCTATTTCTCTTTTTCTTAGAATAACCTCAAACCTGGAGTTTGGCTAGACCTCCACAGCTCACATGGATCTATCTGAAATGGCCACAAGACCTTTAATGATTTCAGAGGTGGGACTGAAAGGCTTCCAATGGGTCAGATCAAAAGGAGCTCTGAAATCTAAGCAGTCACTGATGGCTCCCTTTATACATAACGAAGCAAAGAGAAGCTGACATCTAAAACAGGCCAGATGATCTGTCCTCCCAAAGTGTCTACATCTCTCCATAAACTTCAGAAGAGCCTAGAACAACAGTGTCGGACAGACACAGACAAAGCTGCAATGGGATTCATCTAAAGTGAAAAGTACTAAAGCTACACATCTTGCCAGTAGACAGCCAGTTTGCAGTACAGTATGGCCTGGGACTAAATGGAGCATTGGCTTAGCACTGACATGAAGGAGGGGGGCAGAAAAGAAAGGAGAAAAACCACCTTTGGTCCCAGCAATACCTCTTTGAAGGCACTACACTCTAATACCAAATCAGATAAACTCAGTTTAGGAATAGCAAAAACTTCAAGGACTAAGTTCAGATACCTGTATTCCAGGCAGGTCCCTACACCTGCTGTTTGACATCTCTGAACATCAACAATCAGCCAGGAAGAAGTGGAAGGGGCAAGGGCATTGGAATAGACTGCCAACTAAAATTCTAGTTAAATCATCTAGAAGATAGCAGTTACTCATCTGGGCACAGACTTTGTCCTAATTAGCTATGCTGTTCTAAAGAGCTGAAAGTTACAACATATAACAGGAAAAAGCAACACAAAAAATTAGCTCTTAAAAGACTACAAAAATAAATCATCTTTCACTTTGCTGCTGCATAAACGCAAGGGTAGTTCAGGTGAGCTGGCACATATCCTTAGCTTTAAATTAGTTTCAGGATGTCCTTTGTCCCATGGGAAGGGACTGAATAGCACTAAATTCTATATATAGCAGAAGAGCTTTTTTTCCCACCTATAGAGTTCTTGCACTGTTTCTTGGTTTCCAAAATTGATATAAACAGATCTAAGTCACATATGACATCAAAATGACTGGAAGTACCTTAAGGTCTTGCCTGGTTGCCAGCAGCTCAGACTCCTTCCCATAAAGGTCCAGCTGCAGCTTCTCCACGTTTTCCTTATGTTTTTCATGGGTCTTCTGTAAGTCTGCTAGCTTGACTTTCTCTGCTTTAAGCTCCTGTGCTGACAAAATAGACTGCTGTTGCAGTTTATTCTCCAGTTCTGCCTGAAACATAAGCATAGGAAGTTTCAATTAACGTTACAGACAGTAAAGAAAGTATGCTTAATCACTTCAACGAACTGTATATTTCTACTGCAAGACAAGATCTTTCTTCCACTTATGAAGTAGCAGTTCAGTAATCTGGTGTTTCTGATTTTACAGTAATATTTTATAACTAATTTAACAACAAAATTTAATTCATGTCAAAAGAGTAAGTCAAACACATTAAGACCAAACATTAAAAACTTAATATTCCCAAGTCCTAAAGTTTCTACAGACTGACTAAAGCACAAATATGATCACATAGCATAGGGCAGCCAAAGCTGGAGCAACATTTAACAGTGCATGGCACGCAACGCAACATTCCCTAATGTTGTAAGACATCTGAACTCTTTCCATTATGGTTTATGAGTTTCATACTGTCATTCAGATAAATTGCTTTGGTATAACAAGAGAAGACTTGGTTTAAAACAGCCAAGGACATTCCAAAACACTGCAGAGTCTGTCTGAACTATTCTCACAAAATTCTACTGCTTTACAAGAAAACAGCAGTTCTTGCTTTATAGCGTGTTTCTGAAGCAAAATAAACACATTCAATCTAGCCATTTTTACCACTTTATTGAAACTCATTTCCTACAGAATTCAGCACTGGTTCTTTTTACTTTATTATTGTGGTTGATGATGATGTTGTTTCTATCTCCAACAACATCTGAAGACCTTGTTTCCCCTTGCTGACCTTATCATTTCCAACAAGACTACAGCAAACAGCTGTTTATCATAAAGATATTGACATAAAAGCTGCAGCACTTATCAGAGAAATTTACATTCATTTTCTTAAAGGAGTAAGAGAGGCCAGTCTTACCTTTTCTAAAAAGGCAGTTTTTAATTCAGCTTGCAGTGTCTCACTATGTTTTTTCTTCTGCTCAAAAGCTTCCTTTAGCTCTCTCAGCTTTCCCTGGAGATGTTGCTCGCTTTTTTCTTTCTCCTTCAGAAGACCCTGAATTTCCAGTACTTGCGCTCGTGCTGAATCAAGTTCTATCGACAACTGCTTAGAAAGCTATATTAAAAATATTAAATAACTGCATAGAATTTTAGTTTAAGTCACTATTGGTACATGCTGTAGTATGTGAAACTGCCTATTGAACCCTGTGGATGACAAATTATTTAGTTCAAAAAGCAAACAGGCAATTTCACAGGTGAAAAACCAGTCAAAGCTGTTAAAGCTGAAGATGTAGCTTCATGAAATCAGCTCCCAAAAGACCACTAGAAGTCAGGGAGAATCCCTTGATTGTAGGAATCTGAAAGGCTTGACCTACTTTACTTTTCTCTAAGCATCTGCTACTTTCCTCTGTCAGAGATCAAATACCAAGCTACACCTTGCTTGCCATCCAGTACGTCCACTCTTTACGTTTTCACAAAGAATTGATGATTATCTGCAGGAAACAGTTTCCAAATATGCTACTGTTATTTTTTGTACACAGAACCATATCATCCCACAGTGCCATTGCTGCTAACTTCTGCTTCAGTTAGGTGACTGAACACTGGCAAGCAGATTTCAAGAGCTATCATAACACATTAAACTCATCTGTTATTCCCAATTTCCTACCCTTAGAGCAACTGCAGTCTTTTTTCACCATTTAAAATTAAGAACAGGCAACTCTTCTCAAGCCAGCAGTGGTCTGGGCTCTCCTGCTGCCAACCGCAGCAGATACCAAACTCAACCTCCTGCGCTTGCCAGAGAGCACCAGAGTGCTTCTGCTGAATGAGAGAGGAGCCAGAGGAGTAACAGCAGTAGTCACAGAGGAATTACCATCACACCTGCACATCCACAAACCCTCTTTCAGGCAGTAAGAGTCCATCACAGTCCATCAAACTGTGTCCATTGATCATATCTTTTCTGATTCCTTTAAGGTCACCTTAAGGTGACAGCTTGGGTAAAGAAATCCATGAAAGTGGATTTGGCCTTCAGGCTGCCAGCTGGACTACATGACTTTGCAGTCTGAATGCTCATCTTTAAAAAAGAAGTACATTTGGTCCTTATGCAGTCACAGACAAGTGACTTACACAAGTTTGCAAAAGGAACTAAATCCTCCAAGGATATCTGGAAATGTCCTGTCAACCACACAGAGAACATACAGATTAGGCCTGAGACTAAAACAGATCTCAGGATACAAAATAACAACTTTTATTGTATGAAAGTATGAAAAAAAAATGAGGACATGGTAATGCCAAGTAACTGTTTCACTAATAAAAAAAACTGAAGGGATAAAATCCCCCACTAAGGTATGTGGGGCACAGAAAGGTAGGAGTAAAACCTGTATTTTAAAGCTTCATATCAACATCTAGGCAATTTTTAGTATCATCTTATTTCAGTGCCCCAGGTAGGTTACAATTTGAGAACTGCAACCTCTTCATCTCTCATCAGTCCCAGCATGTGAGACTGAAAATTAATCTTTTAAACATGTATTATTATTGGTTTCTAGATTTTTGAAACTAAGTGGACAGCTTACCCCCTCCTTTTTTTCCAGTGAGTTTTTCAATTCATTCCTCTCTTTAGCTACAGACTCTGTTTGTACCTGCAGCTGGTGTTTTACTTCTTGGCAAGATTTTTCCTAAAAAATATAAGACAAGGAAATATTTCTGTGAGCTTCTAAGACCAAGTACCAGGTATTTTACCAGGATCTACGAAGTCTTGAAAAATAACTGTTTCCTTTTCAGTGAAAAAGCTTTCCTTCTCAACTGCAGACATATTTTCAGGTCAAAACTTCTCAAAAATTTAACAGTGGTAAATCGAAACTGAACACAGCTGATACTCTGTACTAACAAAGGTAGCCATGTGCCAAAGAGTTTTTCTGATTTGGGATAGTTTGCTTGTTTGAAGCTGCTGTTGGCAGCCCTTCTCCTTCTTGTCTAAAGCAGTAGGCTCATCACTCTCCTCAGGATCCAAAATTCCTTGATGTTCTAAAACTCACAAGCAAGTACAATTGTATTGTAGTTGTATTGCAAATTCAACTACATTTTAAGCCGAAATACTACGCACTTAAGACAGTGGCAAGCCTCCAAATGACTACAGAATTAGAAGCAGAATCTGGACTCCTATCTTTAAGTCCAAATTGGGGAGAAAATTCTTTAAGTTCTTAGGAGAAACAAATATTTAAACAGCAGTAACTAAGTAAAGCAAACAAAAAGGCTTATCTTTAAAAGGTGAAAGAGTAAAGGAAAAAGTGTTATTTTTAGCTAGCAGCAGATTTTTTTTTTTTTAGATCAGAATAAAAGCAGCTATAAATAGGTTCTGGGAAATGGTGACATGTAAGATGAGAAGGGAATGAGAAAGACACTCCTACCATGTCTGAGGCAGGGGTGTCAGAATAACTGTATAAGAAAATCTATAAAACATGTATTCATATAGTGCCCATTCATATTACCAACAAAGCAAAAGAGGGACGAAAAAGGTGTATTTTAAGGCTAGTGAGAGTTCACTTTCTTTAATATAATAGGTTGCTCCGGTGGTCAAGCACGTGTTGTTATACTGCCACATGTGAGACATTTTTGAAACTCAAATAGTTCTAGTACTCTGAAAATACCTTAAGCTAGGCATCTTCCCAAACTATAGACAATGTTACTCTGCCTGCAGCATGCAGCCTTTCACCATGTCCGCACAAGTGCACAGGAAGGTTCTATACACAAAGACTCCAGAAAGGAAACTGGCATGTTCTCAGAAAAATAACATCTTCTTCAACATGGTGGCACTTTAGCAAAGGGTTTATAACTTTGTGTTGTTATAATAAGGCTAATGTAATTTTCAGAAGGGGAAATATCCTTTACCTGCTGTTTACAAACAGAGAGGGGCTGGTGGGAGAGGTAGTGGTTGAAGGCCGCCTGGGAAATAGTCACCATGAAATAATAGAATTTTCAATACTCAG